TATCTGCCTACCTATCTACCTATCTATCTATCTGTCTACCGATCTACCTATCTATCTATCTATCTATCTATTTATCTACCGATCTACCTATCTATCTATCTATCTATCTACCTATCTATCTACCTACCTATCTGTCTGTCTGTCTGTCTTTGATTCGACCTCCCCGCCGTCTGCCTGTCTTTCTTCCACAAGGGAGATAGGGAATATCTGTCTGTCGCTCTCTCTCTCTCTCTCTGCCTCTGTCTCTGTCTCTGTCTGTGCCTGTGCCTCTGCCCGTGCCTGTGTCTGTCTATGTCTGTTTGTCTATCTGTCTGTTTGTCTATCTATCTATCTATCTATCTATCCATCTATCCATCTATCCATCTATCCATCTATCCATCTATCCATCTATCCATCTATCTATCTATCTATCTAGCTATCTATCTCCCTCTCTGTTTGTCTATCTGTATATGTATCTATCTGACGATCGAACCTATCCGACTATCTTTCTATCCTTGTTTCGCCAGGGCTGGGGGAACGGGGAGCAACCCTTCCCCTCGCGCTGGTGCGCCCCCGTGTGATGCATAACCTTGGTAATGTGTGTTCGAACATAATTTGCATTCTATTTCTAGTGAAACGTTCATGAGATGAGTTAGACACATTTGCCGCACATTGAATACAAGCTGCTTAACTGAGTGTGTGTGTGTGTGTGTTTAAGTTAACATTCAAAGATACTGCGTAAGCATGTCAGCATGTACCTGTCATCGAACATTCAGGAAAACCCCGTGTATTGTGGGGTTGATCTGAGGCTTATAGTAATGCGATGTTTTTAAGTTGATGTTAACACCACATGCTGGACAAGTAAAAGTCGAACCTTAATTGAAAGCTTCTCTTGTCAGTAGCAGTAGAATGGGAATTAGACACAGCCTGAAAACTACAACGTTTGTTCACAGTCTTTGTAGGTACAACTAAGGATTTGCCTTTCGTGGCACAAAAATACACTCGGATGATATGCAAGTGATTCGAAATCAGTAGGCATCTATACTTCTGTTTATGTAAACGTGCATTCGTTCGAAGAAGTGTGTCGTGATATCACAAGTAGCATATCTCGAGACAGTCCATAGATACAGTCCCCAAAAAAATCAACATAAAACAATGTCTCAGAGCGCTATTCAATTCCAAAGGCCATTTCTCGAGTGAGCCTCAAAAAGACCAAAATGCCAAAACCCATACATACTTCTCGAGATAATCCAAAAAAAATACCAATCATGTCGGAACCTCTCAGAAACCCGAAATGAGCATAGTTCTCGAGACAATCCCAAAAAAACAAAACAACCAAAGCCCATTTCTCGAGACAGTCCCAATAGCTTGGCAGCTTTGTTTTTTGTGTTTTTGGGGGCTGTCTCGAGAAGTATGCTCATGTTTTGGCCTATGGGTTCTATGTTTTTGGTTCTTTTGGGCCCGTCTCAACATTTGGTGGCTTATGGGCTTCGGTATTTTTTGGGGGGGACTGTCTCCAGAGTATGCTCATTTCAGATGTCTGAGAGGTCCCCAAATCTTTGGGATCTTTGGTTGTTTTCTCTCTCGCTCATCATCATCATCATGAGCATCATGATCATCAGCATCGTCATCATCCTGATCATCATGGTCATGCCATCATGATCATCATGATCATCATGATCATCATAGTCATCATGATCATCGTCGTCATCGCCAATCACCGTCACCGCCGCCATGGTATAGTAGTGTGGCACCATCAACACCAAGAAGGACACCACCTCCGCCATCACCACCTTCGTTCATGTGAGCAGACTGGGGAGTCCTTCTGCACTAATGAAACCGAGACAAGGAAGCCGAATTGCAAACATGTGAGGAATCGCGGATGATAGCACAACCACACGAAACTGCGCAGGGCGTTGACGAATCTAAGGCTTCGGCTGTCACAGACCACGTCACCTAAGTGAAGTCTCCGTCATCGACATGAGAGACTCGCACACGTCACGCGGTTTCTGCAGGCAGCACAATACAAAAAGGGCGCCGGAAGTGGTGCTCCCAAAGGCTACAACTCCACGAAATCGTGGTGACAATGGACGAGTGCCTTCTCCACTATGCAACGATAGAGGCAAGCTGCTTTAATCGGATTCTTAACCAGAGGCGTGCTACTGCGCCTTCAGCTGAAAAGCTTTTGCAATAGGATCCGTGTCCACTACTGAATGCTGCTAGACTCTGCTAGACTGCTTCTGGTCAGCTGAAGCTTGCGCTGAGACCATGTCTGTGCAATACCGTGGAGCCGGTCTGAATCCCAAAAGCACGGACACTGTACGGACCGATGCAGCCCTGGCCAAGTGAAAGCTTTCGACTTAGCCTGTGGCCACTGGAATGAGGGCTGCCATTGCTTTGGAGAGCACTTGTGGAGCATAGGTGCTGGTGTTGGGCGGCCTCGAACAATCGAGCGTCGATTTCAAGCTGGGATGCCAAGGCTCCCCATCACCGATCCCCCAAAGCGAAACGTAAACTTCATGACGTCTGGAGTGCCAACACCAATAACCTTCAGAATCAGTGCGGAAGCGACGCTAACAGTAAGCATTGCAGCTGCAGTGGCGACTATGGTGACGCCGGTGATGACGTGAATGCACGACTACAAGGACGACCGACTTAACGCTACCGCCGCTGCTGCTGCCACGACGAGCACGACGACAGAATTAGCGCTACCACCGCTGCTGCTGCTGCTGCCACGACGAGAAGAACGACTGAAATAAGGCTACTGCCGCTGATGCTGCCACGACGAGCAGAATTAAGGAATTAACTCTATTGCCGATGAGGCTGCCACGACGAGTACGAGTACGACGACAGAACTAGCTTCCGCCGCTGCTGCTGCCACGACGAGTATACGACGACAGAGTCAATGCTGCCGCCGCCGCTGCTGCAACGACGAGTACGACGGCAGAATTAACCCTACCGCCGCTGCTGCTGCCACGACAACCACAAGGACAGAACTAACGCCACCGCCGCTGATGCTGCCACGACGAGCACGACGACAGAAGTAACGCTACCGCCGCTGCTGCTGCCACGAGTATGACGACATGATTAACACTTCCGCCGCTGCTGCTGCCGCAACAAGTACGACGACCGAATGAACTCTACCGCCGCTGCTGCTTAGACGACGGTGCCACCACGCTTCAACAGGGAGCTTGCGTCCGAAGTTCCCAGCTTTGTTGAACAAGAACTCCGCTCCTAAACTATAAACCCGAAAATCAAAAACCAACTGAGTAAGGCACAGAAGGATTGCCCCCAACACCGTGGTGCTATCCTCGGGCTCCACCTAGGAGTTTCGGGTGAGCCCTCAGGGTTCCAGGACAACTTGAAAACGCGTCCATAGAGGAGATGTCAAGAACATCGCATAGCCGGTCGGACAAAGGACTAAATGGAGAATCAATTTTTCTTTCTGCGTGGAGCGACCACCAAATAAAACTGTCCATGTTTTGGGAAAGCTCTTGACCGATAAACTAGATGATTCTACTAGAGCGGCGTAAGGGGAACAGAGTCAAAAAGCGGATCGCGAATGTGCTCGAGATATGAATAAACACTGCGCGCGTCCCCGCTTTTGGGCCGTCCGCACCGCCCCCGCCGCCCGTGCCGTCCGAGCCGCCGCAAGATGTAAGGAATATCATCTAAACATTGGAACCAAAGGATGTAGCCTTGCAATTACCAAGGATAGAGGGCCAGTTCAACAGGGTTCGCTTCGTGACTTGTGGGACCTTCGAAAAACGTGGGAAACATTAGAGTTCATTCCTCAGCCTGTCGAAAACTTATACACTTTTCCGAAACACTCACTATACTTTCACCACCAGAGATCACTCATCATTCCTGATTCCATTGGGCCCGTTGTGACACAATCCGTCTCTACAATTGTTGTGGTGATGTAAGGCTTTGCAGGCTGTGGGATGCATTACCCGGTCTTCACTAAAAGCGTGTCACAACTTAGCAGCACAGCAAGATGGCATGCCGTATGGTGACCAATGTCTCCTGGAGGAGGATGAGTCGATGTCATGTTTCAGCATCGTGTTTGAAGTTTATCTATGTTCGTCTTGAGCGATGGAACACGAATCGTCAACTTGGAATTTGAAGTTCAGACTTATTGTCCGCTTTGCCCACTTTGCACTCAGAGGATGGAGCCTTGAAAATCGGAACATGACGGTTTCAGACTCAGGCCAGGCGAGATCTCCTACGATAGTCTTACGGAATTTGAATACTCATTCCTAGTTCCTAGTGCTTACTGCTGCAAAGACAGAGTCCAGGAGGAGGGAACCCTGTCCTCGCGCGATGGAGCGGCGCGCCCCGGGTAAGGAGAGAGGATGTGCAGCAGGCGGTGCGAGCGGGCGATGCGGACACCCCTCCCGCTCGCAACGGGGACAAACAAGGCACGGAAATTCAAAAGCCTCCAGGCTTTGTCTCACTTTACACGGTGCAGGATGGTGCAGGATTAAGGCTGATTAAGGAAATCAACGGATAGATACTACCACGACATGGAAGAGATGGAGGGAGGGCCCTACAAGTACAGCCAGCAAGAAACTGGAGCCAAATACTAGAGTTTACTGTAAGCGATACAACCGAATTTACCAATGACCAACGGCATCAAGTATATCAGAGAGCTGCTTTTACAAACCCATACATAACTTTTGAAAGCAAGAAGGTGTTAAAAGTTGGTCGAGACCGGTGTTATGTCAACGCATGTCAAAGCAGATTATGATGATGCAGCATAACCTCTCCAAAGACTCAGGTATGCCTGGGTTATACATAGGCAGGGACTAAAGCCGGGGACTTGTCAACGATACTGGGAATGCACCATCCAAGCGGCTGCTCCCAGCCAGCCACACTGCAGCTGCTCCACACGCATTGCATTGTTTCCCAAATCCTTCCGGGCGGTAGATTCGACGACCCCGCACAAAACGAGCGTCCTCCAAGGCCCGCAAACGCTGGATGGCCAAAGAGTCCACGCCCTCTGCCTGAGCCATCGAGTTTGCTAGAGGTTAGAGCATGTGGAGCTCCTTTTGCCTCTACGGGCGGGCCCTGCGGAGCGGCTCCCGGAGCGGGTGGCGTTCCCACCAGGCGCAGTTCGGCGCCGGCCGCTGCTGCAGCTAAGACCTGCAAGGAAGGAGCCGTTTCTTGCACCCACCCACCCACCTCCAACAGCCGGGCGCGTTTGCGATGTGAGATCAACCGACGTCGCCTAGTAAGGAGGCGGCTTCAAGATATGAGCTCAAGCAGCATTGTGCTGCGAGGAGGAAGATTTCGCTTTTGAAACCGCTATCGCGTAATGGGGGGGGGGGGGGGGGGGGGCGCGAGCATAAGACATGGGATCAACCGCAATCGCCTAGTGAGGGGGCCGGCTCAAGATGTGGACAGATATGGGATCAACCGCACTCGCCCAAACTGGGATTTCAACGGGACGGATTTGAGATGTGCGATCATGCGCGATCGCCTGCCTTTCGAACTCAACCGCTATCGCCTACTGAGCGGCAGGTTTCAAGATATGAGATCAAGCGCCATCGACTAGCGTTTTGTGGCGGATTTGATATGTGAAATCAACTGCCATCGCCTAACGAGGGGGCGAGCTTACGACCTGTGATCAATCGCCCGCCACCGCCATGGTCGAATGAGGGGCGGGGCTGAAGATGGATATTCTGTGATAAACCGCCGAGATCGACCGCATGCGCCTAATGAGAGGCCGGGTTGTGGGTATGGGGTCAACCGAGCCGGCCTTCTGTGGGGCGGAATTAAGATATGAAAACAATCGCCATCGCGTACTCAGGGGGCAGATTCAATATGCGAGATTAAGCACCATCATCTAACCAGGGGTCGGGCTTAGGGTCTGAAGTATGAGCTTAACGGCCATCGCCTAATGAGGGGGCGAGTTTAAGATATGCAAGCCGGCTTTCGAACTCTCGCACTCTCAACCTTTCAAACTCGAAACCCGAAGGACCGTCGAACCTTCGAACTCCGCCCGTTTCAAAGCTTCAAACTCTCGCGGTTCAACTGTGCATACACTCTGGACACTCTGGAACTTTCATGTCAGTTCAAAGTCTCACGCTCTTCAGCATTCAACCTCTGCAAGCTTGAAACTTTCGAACTGACAACCTCTCGACCTCCGCGGCGAGCACCGACTTTGAAGCCAAGCTGCCGAAGGTTGAAACTTTCGAGCTGCGCTCGAAACTTTGAGAGCCGCGGCTGAAGGGAGAAAGTCTGAAATTTTGGAGAGTTGTTTTAATAGTCCGAGTTTTAAGCACGGTCTCTCTTACCAAAGTGCCCACACTTTTCATTCTATCTCATGCACTGGTTACTGTGCAGGCCAGAAGCTCATGCCCACAGCAATCCAGCCTCATCAACTTCTGCGACACGTCTCCATGGCCTCAAGACCCCCGATGCCCAAGCGAGTTTAGGGTGTGCGACACTTCTGCTTCCGTGCCTTTCAGTGGTAAGGGATAGCGGTGGCACAGGGAGTGACAGGTGGTTGACTGCGAAGGTCGTGTAGCCACAGACCTGACTGACAATGATCAAGTGCCTGTGCACTCGTCCCATGAAGGACCTGCCTCTTCGGTTGGAAGCAGGCCTAATAAAGTCTCTGTCTCCGTGAGGTTCTTGGATGCCTCGGCAGGTGCCAGAACTGAAGACGACGCAGCCAGGATCACGCCAACAACACACTCTATGGCTCTACACGCGAAAAGGTCCGGACGATTTTTTCGCCGTTTGGATAAAAGCGCTGCAGCGCCGTTCAGGCAGCTACGCCGTTCACGATTGTTGCTGCACGCCACACAGTCCTTGCACTGAGCATACTGAGCAACCAGCATTGACACAAACTTGGCTGTAGATGTTGACGTATCCTGGCATGCACATCATGCACGGCTCCGGCCATTTCCTGGCTTCGTCACAGCTTTCCCGCCTGTCGGCAGAGTGCCGGGACGCAGAAAAAGCTGACTTGCCACGCTTCGGTTGCCGTATCGCTCCTGCACAACCAAGCACGACCGATCTGACACCTTATTCGTGCAGTGGATGTCGAAAGCAACTGACCTGCCTCACCCACGGGTCGAGCAGATGAAAGCAAGGGGACAGAAATTGCCTCGCGGACGTGCGCTGCATGATGCAGCAGATCTGAGATCATCAAATGATAGGTGTTGCAGCAAACTGGTATTCTTCAACGTGCAAGCCAGATACTCACATGATACGCATGAACCAGCCATCGGAGTGGTGCTGTGGTGCTTGCATGGGCACAGGACGGGACGCTCTGAAGTCGTGCCGTTGAAGTGCCTCTCCCAAAGCGTTGCGAAGAGACGAGTCAAAGGACCAAAGTGCCCGCCTCAGTGTGCAGGCACTTGTGGCGGCTGCGGCTAATGTGCACCACAAGTGCGCGCCACGCAAGCTAGAACGATGTTTCGTAAGGTTCCGGCACCAACCTTAGTGGCTCCTGCTGCGTTACATCGTTGAGAGATGTTGCAAATGGTGGTCTTTGTTGGGCACGTGCACATCTGATTTTCATAGATGGGAGCTTTGCCTCATCAGGCTTGGGAAACCTTCGGCGTACTTTACATGGCATCGATCGCTACCAGCCCGAAGATCTGTACAGCGTCCCAATTCCTGCAGTGCAGTGCATAGCAGTGCTAGTTCTAGCGCTGCCTGCTGCCTGTGCTTGCTACAGATGTTCTTCTGGCCAAGAGCCATCTACAGAGGTCAAAAGAAAGTGTAAGTTGAGGATTCCTTGATGATGAAATACAAAGAGCCCACGAAACTGCTCAGGCCGAGCACTACGAAGGTAAAGGCCAAGAAGGCATGGCAGGCTCTCCTCCAAGCTGGTGCACCTCTTGCGAGCGGCGAGTTTTCCCACAGAACGAAGGGGTGGACAAATGTCATAGCAGTGAAGCCGATCGCTCCAGAAAGCGAGGCCAAATCACCAATGAATGGTATCGCGACAGCCACGAATGTAGCAGTGGCCACCCAAGGCAATCTCACGACCAACAAGTTCTTGCAGCTGTACCGGTCACCATCGCTGCTAAGTGATGGGAACATATCCCCCACAAGAGCAAAGCCGGACTGTATGTAGATTGCACCCAGCGCAAGGGTGTTGACCGCAAGCAGCACTTGCAAGGAGGCCAACAGTGCAACTGAAAGATTGCTGAAGTTGTCCAGTAGGTAGCTGGAGATGTTCTCGCCAAAAGCAGCGTAGGCTGCTGTCGCCGTAGCAGCATAACATGGTACGATAACGGCATAAGCAGCCATGAGCCCTCTGTTCATCGCAGCATGGGCTCGCTCGACCGTGGGAGACCGCAAGGATGCCTGCAAATCTGGCAAGACGGCATGCCCGCCGTAAGAGAAGGCGAGCACCCCAAAGCTGTTCATAACACCGAAGACGAAGCCTTCGCCATCATTGGGGCGGCCGAAATCAACATCCGTTTCTTGCGAAAGAATGCTTAGGACGCACCCCACGAAGGTCAGAACCACGAAGACCACGACTGCTATGCTGCCGACACAGCTGACCTGCCACATGTGTGACAGGCTCGGGCAAAGCCCAATCAGGAAAGTGAAGGCGCCACCTATGATGGTCCACCATGAAGATTTCAGATGCGCTGCAGGCGAAAACAACTCATCCAAGGCGAAGAACGTTTGCCCGAGCGTTAGTGCCGTCAGAACAGTAACCTGGTAGACGACTATGAACTGAAACGGACGGATCCACCACTTTGCAAATCCATCTCCCATGACTCTGTCCGCAATTTGGGAATATGTTGTTTCTGAACCTTGAAGCTGGATCAGCAGGCGGGCAGAGTAGTATGAAACAAGCGTGCTGAGGAGCCACACTGCAATGCCAGCAAACCAGCCCAAGTAGCCAAACGAAAAGGGCAACGTGGCAACAGCGATCGCCCCAAGTACGGAGGTCGTCGTGTGGTACCAGGCGTGAACCCAGTTGTGCGGTTGGTGTGAGATTGATGCGGAGGAACCTGACGAGCTCTTGCTTGCTGTGTCTTCTTCGTTGGAAGACTTACTCTCGCAGGGCATCACCTCTTCGGCACACATCATCCTGTCAGCAAGAGCTTGAGCAAAACGAGGCTGCATCGGCATGTGTCAATGGGCACTTCGAATGCTGCATGGAAAATGACCGCAGGGGAGACCTCCAGCCGCAAGCTCGTAGGTTCCGGAGCCTCTGTTCAACTCGGCACCCACTGGAGTCGCTACTAAGTGCGGGAACGGGAAGCCTTGGGCCTTGAGTCTCCGTAGAGAGCTGGTTCATGAAGTTCATGGCCTAGGCCTAGTCCTTTTGTCTTTTGGCCTAGCTGGCCTAGCTCAGGCTCTTGGAGGGCCGGATTTCCGGCGTTTACGGCTCCAAGTGTCGTCATGTTTCGACTCAGGCCCTCTATTTCGTTGATGCTTCGCGGTCTAGAAATGCAACGACTTCGGGAAGACACGCCCTGAGCTCAGAGGCTTGCGAGCGGCCAAACGCACGTGAAATCCCGATGGCTTCTGAGCCTTTACCCACAACAGTATAGTCAGTATAGTAAGCAAGGACTTCCGCAGGCGCCCATAAATAGATCTGGAAGCCGCTTGGTCTTATTGGTCATATGAGTGGTCCGAGTCGGTGTGCGTCTCCGATGCGGAAGTCCCGGGTGAGAAAGACCCCCGAAGCAGTGAATCTGCACATGCCTGTCCGATTCGGATCCCTTTTGGGGATCCCTCTTCCTGTGCCGAGCATAGGCATTGGTGTCCCCATTTTTCCGAAACTCCGAAACCGCGCTGTGTTATAGCGCTTAAGGCTTCGTTCAAGCAGCCGAGGCTGCCAGAAGTGTCGTCGGCCGTGGAGGATCGCCTGTGACGCAGCCCTGGCAGGGGTCTGAGAGTCAAGTACTTCAATGTAGACTCCTAACTTGCAGACAGTCTTCGGTTAACAAGGATCGAAAGGGGGATCTTACTGCTAAAGTCTTTTTCGAAGACGGTCTCCAATCATGCGGAGATCTGCTCCGATAGCTCTGCAAAACATCGCAGACTTCTCCCTTCCTCCTGCTCATCCTGCCCGGTCACCCGGGCATGTCCAAAACCATTTCAACAATAAGTGCTTTGTTCCTCCTGCTCATCCTCTTGCCCCTCGCCTATACGAGGTACTTCTCGTTTCTGTTGTAAAATGCCCCGGCCCTTCGCGGGCCCTCGTGATTTCTCAGCTTGAGACTCAGTCTGGAAGGTCTGCTGGATGCAAACCGTTCCGTCTCTCTCTTTGGTCAAATAGGAAAGTTAGAACATTGGCTGCTTTCAAACACGGCGGGGAATGACAGAAACGAGTCTTTCATAGCATGCTGAGCTTTGTCAAGCATCTCTCGCTTCGTACAAAGTGTGCTCAATTCACTCCCGCGAATACTGTGAATTGCCCAAGTGCACGCGTTTAAGCCAGGTCGAGGCCCGCGAGAAGAGCAGAAGAGCCCGTTCCGAGAAGGCGCCTGTGGAAGCTCTGCTTTGACTTCCAGCTGCAACCTCATATCACACATTTACGATCATAGCACGGCACCGCCCACATAGCGCTAGCTCGGCAATCTGAAGTAAAATGCGACCACCTGATGACTGACATCCTAGTTTCGAGGTTTGGAACGTTCACCCACCATAGTTCCGCATGGTCGGAATGACGACTTCTGCGGGTTCTTGCGAGGTCATGGTAATGCACACCCACATGCCGGATTGATCTACCACATACCACATACGGCTCACATGGCACCCGGTTCCCATGGTTCATGCTACTTCCTCAATACCTGGTCGGCAATGGCTGTGCTCCAGAGATGCACATTGTGCATCACCGACCATGCAAACGACCCATATTCAGCCAATTACACTTAAACCCGTGGATTTAATCGAAGTGCGATGCGCAAAAATAGGACCGGTGGAAACAAGACTCGTTGCGGCGGGCCGACTACCACTACCGCTACCATTGCTACTACGACTACGATCTACCACGACTACTCCTTCTACTCCTACTCCTACTCCTGCTCCTGCGCCTGCTCCTGCTCTCCTGCTCCTGCTCCTGCTCCTGCTCCTGCTCCTGCTGCTGCTGCTACTGCCGCTACTACCACCAGAACCACCACCACCACCGCCACCGCCACCACCACTGGCACTATTTACCACTGCTGCTATTAACACGCGCAGGAGTCAAAGTTTGCCCACGGCATTTCGGCAATTCGGGGGCTGGCTTCAGGGTCTAGGGTTTCGGGTTCAGGGTATGCGTCTTAATTCTTTAATTCGGACTTGCGTTATGGTTACATAGACGTATATCAGTCTATGTGTAAATAGATGATCAAGACAGAGACAGACCAAAAAAAATGATGCATATATATATATATATACATATATACATACATACATACATACATACATACATACATACATACATACATACATACATACATACACGACGTACATACGTACATAGGTACATACATACATAAATAAATGTATAAATATGTGTATATGTATATATATATATATTCATGTACACATACAACCCCCGAATCCGCGCTTAAGTGGTTACAGCAGAACCATACGACGGAATAGCGCAACGTCGACATCGAAGTCTTGTTCTCGGCATTAGCGCGCGAATCAGATGTCAGAGTCTTGATCCGTCGCAACAGCAGTGAGACAGGAATAGTACATCGAAGTATTGGTGTTGACACTCGTCTCAGCAGCACGGAATAACCAGCAATTGAACATCCAAGTATTGTTGTCGGTTGTCGGCCGATCTTTTGAAAGCCACTCAGCCACGAATAGCACATCAAAGTATTGCCATCGTCCGCTTTCTTAACACAAGTGTATTATCTGAGCTAATGACAGCCGCATCCCTCTGCGACGAGTTTAGACTCTTTTTCCGAAGATGTCATGTAGTAATTGTTCGGGTGGAGATGACTGCTGGAGTGAACTGCTGAAACCAATTTCGTTTGCCTCCGTGGCTACCTGGCCGGGGGCTGGGGCGACTGGGAAGCGAAAAAAAACGCGAAGCCGAACTAATGGACCTGGTCCGGGATGAAGCCCGAGGTTCGCGCTTTTTCTCGCTTCCCAGTCCACCCAGCCCGCGGCTACGCAGCCACGAAGGCACAGGAAACTGGTCTCAGCATTTCCCTCCAGCAATCATCTCCGCCCGAAGAGCTACGCGCCATCTTCGGCGGCCGCACTCCCTGCATGCAGCCCTGGTCAAGTTTCCAAATACATACATGGGTATGGCAATAAAAACCCCTCTTTTTCATCTTTGTTAGGGAGCGATTTGGGGGCAAGAAGCGTTCGAATTTCTTGCTGCGCGTAAGTCCGGGCGGAAGGCTTTCCGGCCGTTGAATTGAACTTCTCGTTGCAAGCCAGCCAGGAGCCACGACAAGGCATTTCCAGCACTAAGCGTTTACCAAAGCACAATCCAGCAATCGGCAGCTTCTGCGTGCAAGCAAAGCAGCTCTCCGGCACGATCTCCCCTTAAAAGCCTGACGTTCTAAGGGAGAAAGCTACCGCGGGACGCAAACGAAGATCCCATTAGCGGCCCCAACTCGGCAGTTCGCGTAACAGTTGAACGGCGACAAGATTGGGAGGACACGTTCCAGGTACCGCGCCCACCACGCCGAAAAGAGTCAGCTGTGGGTGCA